AACACGCAACCTAAACCTTCCTCTATGAAGAAGCCATGTGCAAATTTCTAATTTGCACCATTTACTTTACTTTACTTTACTTTAAATTAATTTACATTTTTTCTAATTTTTTAATAAATATTTAATGTTTTTAGTATAACTAATAATTACCTATTCCTCTGCTTTGCTGCATAATATAAGCAATATAGTTATTACAATATAGCCTGTCGAGATTAGAAAGAAAATATTCATTTTCTATATATATATGTATTTAATTTTACCTTCATACATTCCATATAAATTTTTATAACATATATCTTTGTATATTCTATATAAATGTATAACATATCTTTATATATTCTATAACCTTTATAACATGTTATAATTTTTTCTATAAATATGTTTATACATTGTTTCTTACAATCTCTGTAACTGTAGCTTCTTTATCTCTAGCTCGACTAATAAGAGTTCGGTATTCAGCTTGTGAGTCTCTGCTCTCATTTCTATTTCCTGTTGCAAGAATTGTTGTTGCAGCTCTAGGACATTTTTTTTCAGTGAAGCAGTTTCTGTCTGTTGTGCTGTGTTGTTTCTTATGGTTCTAGTTGTACTTATTTTTTTCTGCTTTTTTCTATGAAGGAACTTATCCGATAGTGGTGCTAAAGACATGAAAGTAAATATAACGTTTGTTGTAATAAAGATCCAGATTATAGCCAGAGCAATCCATTTCTCTTGGTATACAATATCAGGGCTTTTATACCTTTTTGTTCACTGGTAGTAGTGTTTACATCAGGTGGAGGACTAGAAACATGCATACTCCTGCCTGCTTCGTTATCACCGGTGTCCTCAAACTCATCATTAGAATTATAAATATTGCATTCAGGTCCCAATGTCTCAGTAATATATTGCCTGACGTCAGGATCATCAATATATGGGTGGCTGTCTTCATTCTCTTTATTCTCTTCATTCTCGTCAACGGTATTGTCTGCAACAGCTGCAACAAACATTAAAATTTGAACAGTGCATATGTATTAAATACTAATATGTATTCAGCTTATCAGTACACAATATAATTACAATAAATACGTACCTCCAAAATGATCACTATCGTGTCTACTTGGCAAACCCAACATTCCAAGCTCAGATATCGATAGTAATTTCTCCTCATGACCTTCTAAACCTGAACACGGATTACTTCCACCTCCCGTTTTCTTCTGTTCTCCAGTCAATCGAGCACATTTCTTCCTTAAATCTTTTTTAAGATTTTCGTATTTCGCTCGAATTGACTTGGCGTTTCGAGGAAAATTTCCAGATTGAGCATTAAACTGTGATGTTATTTCCTCCCATGCTGTATCTTTGTCTTTCCATGTAGTAGCATCAGTACTGTTCAGTATCAACACGAACAGTATTCGTGTTCGTGCTGTCTTTTCGCGTAATGAATAGATTGTGTTATTCGTAAATGTATTGGTTTATTCGGTCTTTAAAATACGCCACAATTTCACAGTGTCTCGCACTCGCGATAGAGATGTCCGCGACGACGTCTCGGGGCTGTTACCCTGGGTCGCGGACGATTCGCATGTACGCACTTAAAGTTTGCTTATCGTTTGTCGTACCGATAAGTTATTGGCCCGGCGACGACGTCTCAGGGCTGTTGCCCTGGGTCGCGGACGATGCGCGTGTAACGCACTTATTGATTTTGTTTATCGTTTGTCGTAACGATAAGTTATTGGCCCGGCGACGACGTCTCAGGGCTGTTGCCCTGGGTCGCGGACGATTCGTGTGTTCGGTGACGACGTCTCAGAGCTGTTGCTCTGGGTCACCGTCGCGGATACTGCGATTCGCGACTCTCACTGACTCGATCACGATTGATTTCCTCGATATTCTCGACGCGAGTATGCACGTAGGAGATCGTTCTGTACTGACTTCTGTACTGTACTGTCGTTCGACCATATATACTGCGATCCCCCGCCAAGACTCCAGGAAGTTTTCCCAAAATCTTATTGGTGGGCCCTTAGGTCCGCCCATCGATCATCGATCAGCGGCTCGCAGACATCGGAGAAAACAAAGGGTGCGGGGATTACGGAAGCCGCGCGCCCGAGCTCACCGGCGCCGTACACGTTCGAACTCGCACCGCACGCCGCCTCAATCTTTGTAAATAAGATTGCGCGGATGCGTCGACAGACGGTCGCCGGTGTCGATGCGTGCGTTCCGTGCCGCTTATGTCATCGCCCTTTGGTGTGTACATATACGCATGTACATACATTGCGTCGTAGAAACGTCGCACACGACCCTTCTACGACGCAACACCGCCCTTCCCCCACGTGCACGACAGAGTAAAGTTCGATTTTTATCATTGACTCATCGCGTGTATGCGCTGGAACGCGCCCATCGTGTCCGACTCGTGAGAGACGCTACGCAACATCCTCCCCCCGTTGAGAGGGTAGCGATCAACTATCCTATAGATTAGTGATCAGATTCGTATGTGTGTTTGTATTGCGTGTGCTCGATTGCCCACGTATGTGCGTATAAGTTAAACAGTGTTTTTATATTGAATGCACGAATTCGCACGTGCATTGATACGTATCATGTGCTAATGTGTGTTTGTGCGGTATAATATAATGGAGTACTCCAACGTATAAATTCGTCGACGAATTGCGCATTTATTATATCGCTTCGAGTTGAGACATAGAGACATTGTGATACATGTGGTAATTATCGCTTGTATAAATATGACAAATATGACTATAAATATGACTATTTATCAATCGGGAGGGGCAGAGATAGTTGACGGTCCTCTTCGTCTCTCCAGCTGCGGTTTTCATGGTAACCGCTCGTGTGCCACCATCCTCTCCCGCATGTAGTTGTAAGACTCTGCCCAACGTCCACCGTCCACACGGCACGTTTTGTCCTTTATGAGCACGACGGTCCCGATGTCGAGCTTCGGTCCATCCTTAGTCCATTTGTGACGCACCTGGAGCTCATTGAGGTATTCGAGGCTCCAGCGTGCCCAAAAATCTTGACGAACCTTAGTGATGTGCTGCCAGGTAGACAATCGGTTGACTGGAACAGCGGATAAGTCGCCCTCGGGGAGAGTCGTTAGTGGTTTGCCGATCAAATAATGGGCTGGAGTTAAGGCGAGCAAGTCATTCGGATCGGATGATAGGCAGGTGATAGGTCGGGAATTCAGGACACCTTCGACTTCGACTACAAATGTGTTTAATTCCTCGTGAGTAAGGATTCCTCAATAATCTCGCTCGCGGATAATGAGCCGGTAGACTTAATGGTACGGCGAGAGCGGAGGCAATACGCGATGATTCTGCGCAATTTAGAATAGGAAGAGTATTTGGTGAGAATCCCGGTATCGTGGGTCGCCGCTAATAAACAGGCGTTTTTCTTTAATTCCGTTATCTCGATGTCTGTTTGCATGATCTCATTGGGCCACTCGCTCTCGCCCTCGACTAACCACGAGGGCCCCGTAAGCCACATTTTGTTTCGTAAAAAAGTATGAGGCAACTGACCTCTTGATAACGCGTCCGCCGGATTGTCTTCCGACTGTACGTGCCGCCACACGTTGAAACCAGTGATATTCCGAATTTCTGTGACTCGGTTTGCTACGAACGTCTTAAGGAGGTGAGGCGGTGTTTTTATCCAATGTAAAACGATGGTCGAATCGCACCAAAAAATGACTCGGTTAGGCGTAACGTTTAATATAGCGCTCGCTTCCCGATATAATTGTGCCGATACTACTGCACCACAGAGTTCTAAACGCGGAATAGTAATAGGTTTTAACGGTGCAACTCTGGATTTGGCGCATGCCAATCTGACAATCACAGTCTCATTTTTCCTGTTAGATCGAACATACAAGCATGCACCGTAGCCGACACTACTGGCATCACAGAACCCGTGTATTTGAACGTCGCGATAGTCATTTATTAGCAATTTACGTTCAAAGTAAAGCGATTTATTGATTCTAATTGTCGAACAAATTCCTTCCACTCCGTATATACGCCTCGTGGGACAGATTCGTCCCATTGTAAACCGGAACGCCATATGTCTTGCATCAGCCTTTTAGCGTATAGAATAATCGGACCGAGTAATCCTATTGGATCAAAAATCCTTGCAATTTCCGATAATATGTTTCGTTTTGTCAATCTTTGAGTAATTTCGATCGGACGCACCACATAATGCATTTGATCGTCTCGCGTGTTCCATGTTATACCTAACGTCTTTACGGAATGATCCACGTTTAACACGAGATTGGTGCGCAACGCATTGGAGGCTAAATCGTTAATAACGCGCTCGTCGTTGGATGTCCGTTGCCTTCTGGAGAAACCACCCCGTTTCAGTAACGCGATTATTTCGTTACGGACGGCGCGCGCCTCTACAATCGTATCGGCGCCGGATAACAAATCGTCCACATAAAGATGTGTGGTAAGAATCTCGGCCGCTCGAGGATACGCATGACGTTCGTCCTCCGCAAGTTTCTGTAAAACTCGAATCGCGAGGAAGGAAGAAGGCGAAACACCGAATGTAAGCGTGTTAAGCTGAAACGTTTTAATTCTACCATCCACGCGCCAGAGGAATCTCTGATAACGGCGATCATCCTCGTGCAATAACACCTGGCGATACATCCTTTCGATGTCCGCCGTGATGACATAATTGTATGTGTGGAACCGAATTAAATGCGAGAACAACGTGTCTTGAATGGTAGGTCCTACCATTAACGCGTCGTTCAACGACATTCCGTTATTCGTCTTCGCCGACGCGTCGAACACCACTCGAACCTTAGTCGGGTTACTCGCTTCTTTGATTACTGCGTGGTGCGGCAGATAGTAACCGTCGTCATCAGGATCCTCTATTGCTGACGTATGATTGAGGGTCAAATACTCCTCGATTACCCGCGCGTACTCGTTTCTCAACGCAGCGTTTGAATTGAGTTTACGCTCCAGCGACAATAGACGTTTCAGCGCGATGGACCGCGATTCCCCTAGTCGCGTGTTTGATTTGCGAAACGGTAAGCGAACCTTGTAACGCCCGACGGCATCGCGAGACACCGTTCTTTCGAAATGCGCTTCGTAATTGATTTGCTCGTCCGATTTCATCTTACTTTCCCTGACTTCTTCAATTGCCCAAAATTTGTTTAATTGATTCTCGAGATGCGTCACGTAACGCGTAGATTTTGAAGGAACTTGCGACGCGGACGGTACACCACCTACCACCGCCCATCCGAGTCGTGTTTTCTGCAAATACAGATCGTGATCTTCACGCAACGAGTTGATCTGTCCGACGGAGAACAGAGATAAGGTGAGCCCTGAGCCAATCAGCAAATCAACCGCGCGTGGCAGGTGGAAATTCGGATCCGCCAATCTAACGTTCGATGGTAATTTGATCGTGTCTCTCGGAAAGACTTCTGAGGGAATTAAATCGGCGATGACCGGAATCACCAGACACGTGAAATCCCTGCGTTAATTATCGTGCAAGGACCGCATAGTGATCCGTACTATGCCGCTCGATTCTGTATTCACGTCATTGATCATACCAGCTGACGACGCGCCTTTGCTTACATGAATGTTCAATCGCTTTAGAATAGATTCCGAAATAAAATTTGCTGTGGCACAAGTATCTAACAAGGCGCGGAATTTTATTGGATTACGCCCGCGATCCCGGACATATACCACGGCACTCGCTAGTAATTGTGGTGCGGGTGTGTACGACACCCTAGCATGCCTTACCTTCGCGGTATTAATCGACTCGGCTATTCATGCGGTCTGTGTATCTACGGCCTTAGAAGTGGAAGTTCGATTCGTAACCGGATATTGGTCTAAATGCAGAAGAGTGTTATGTTTCCTTTGGCAAATTGTACAGTTCGAAAATTTGCAGGGGTTGTCTCTATGTGAGCGCAAGCAATTGTAACAAATCTTCGCGTTTCTCACTGTTTCGATACGTTTAGGTATAGGTAATTGTTTGAATTTGTCGCATAAATACAAGGGATGCCGTTTCGTTTTGCATGCTACGCAATTACGCGCCGCGCTTACGACAAACGCTTGATTCGAGGGATGACTTCGTCTTTTTTTGCTCGAGGGTTCTCCCCTGCTTCCCTCCATGTCGGTTACCTTCGCTCTCTCGCGTCTCGAGACGCAAACCGCGGTTTTATATAAGAACTCGTACATCTGGTCGATCTCTGGAAACTCGTCTCCTTCGAGAGTCGCCTCCCATTTTTCCAACGTTATCCTTGATAGCTTGGTCTCTAGCAAAGGTACGATCATTTCGTGTCCGACCGAAACTCCCAAAGAGTTTAGCGACGCAACGTGTTGCTGTGCGTCGTCCGCGAGACTGGACAAACCGTTCGTTGTTTCTTTGTCTAGCGCGGGCAAATTTAATAGCAGAGAGAGATGCCGCGATATCAAGATCCTCCTGACCTCATATGACCATTCTAATAAGCTCCAGGCCTTGGCATAATTAATTCCGTCAATTTCGAAGATCCTAATCTTGTTCGCGGCTTCGCCAGTTAGCGCCGATCTAAGGTAATGCAATTTGTCTATTTCCGCAAGGTCCGTTCGCGAGCCTATCATACTGCAAAACGCATTTTTGAATGATAATCATCCCTCGAATCTACCATCAAACTTTGGTAACGGCGTTTCGGGCAGTTTAATCCGCCGTTTCTCAACCGGCGGTACGATGTCACCGCGCCGCACTTCTTCGTTTGATACGCTGGTGCTCGGTTCGGACGTATCTCCCGACGGCGCATTTCCCGGACGTAAAATACTCTCGATTTTTCCCGCCAATGCATAAAATCGCTCCTGGATACCCTCGAACTCGACCCGATGATTTGGGATCTAATACCGCGAGTTCATCGTTATACTCTTCGAAGACCCGATATAATTGCGTTAAACGCTCGTTTCGCAACCTTAACGTCGCGTTATCAATTTCCCCCCCTTCGACGATATTGGATAAGTTGGTTATTTGGGATTTCAGGGAAGTTCGTTTCTGAACGAGGAATTTGATTTTGTCCGCCATCTCGGCATGCGACGGAATGTAAATGCTGGGAAAGAATGACTTACTCTTACGCCTGTCGAGTACGATTGCACACGTTTCCCCTTCGGCTAACTTGGAAGACCCGCTCTTAGTAGAAGTGAGGCGGCTCTCAGGCTGGATCCCGTTTCTTGCGTGGATTGAGGCACATACCTCACAGGAGGCACCAAAATGTTCAGTATCAACACGAACAGTATTCGTGTTCGTGCTGTCTTTTCGCGTAATGAATAGATTGTGTTATTCGTAAATGTATTGATTTATTCGGTCTTTAAAATACGCCACAATTTCACAGTGTCTCGCACTCGCGATAGAGATGTCCGCGACGACGTCTCGGGGCTGTTACCCTGGGTCGCGGACGATTCGCATGTACGCACTTAAAGTTTGCTTATCGTTTGTCGTACCGATAAGTTATTGGCCCGGCGACGACGTCTCAGGGCTGTTGCCCTAGGTCGCGGACGATGCGCGTGTAACACACTTATTGATTTTGTTTATCGTTTGTCGTAACGATAAGTTATTGGCCCGGCGACGACGTCTCAGGGCTGTTGCCCTGGGTCGCGGTCGATTCGTATGTTCGGTGACGACGTCTCAGAGCTGTTGCTCTGGGTCACCGTCGCGGATACTGCGATTCGCGACTCTCACTGACTCGATCACGATTGATTTCCTCGATATTCTCGACGCGAGTATGCACGTAGGAGATCGTTCTGTACTGACTTCTGTACTGTACTGTCGTTCGACCATATATACTGCGATCCCCCGCCAAGACTCCAGGAAGTTTTCCCAAAATCTTATTGGTGGGCCCTTAGGTCCGCCCATCGATCATCGATCAGCGGCTCGCAGACATTGGAGAAAACAAAGGGTGCGGGGATTACGGAAGCCGCGCGCCCGAGCTCACCGGCGCCGTACACGTTCGAACTCGCACCGCACGCCGCCTCAATCTTTGTAAATAAGATTGCGCGGATGCATCGACAGACGGTCGCCGGTGTAGATGCGTGCGTTCCGTGCCGCTTATGTCATCGCCCTTTGGTGTGTACATATACGCATGTACATACATTGCGTCGTAGAAACGTCGCGCACGACCCTTCTACGACGCAACACCGCCCTTCCCCCACGTGCACGACAGAGTAAAGTTCGATTTTTATCATTGACTCATCGCGTGTATGCGCTGGAACGCGCCCATCGTGTCCGACTCGTGAGAGACGCTACGCAACAAGTACGCTTATTTTCTATTACATTTTTACGTCGCAATACCAAGTCTACTAGAATATTCACTTCACTTTTTGTAAAATTTGCACTTCTTTTGTCCCTATTGACTACTTTTTTATCTGTCATTATATCGAATCTTATAACCTAGATATAATACTATAACCTAGAAATTAAAGAAAAGTCTTACTGAAAATATTGTATGAATTCAGATTCATAAAAACGCCTACCGCACATTATTAAAACCTTACAACTTACAAAACAATAAACCTGAAAAAGATTTCCTATTTGTATTTTTGTACAACGTGAAGTTAACTGATGGTCAAAATTTACAGCGTTGTCACGTCTTCAACTTACATGCGCAGATATTATCTAACCTCAAGATAGAAATCCAAAGATTATAACGAAGAGAATCGAATCATTTTTAACTGCCAGTTATCTTTAACTGGTAGTTAGCTATTACCCAGTTTAGCTAAACGCGAAGAAATCGGGCATTACAGATTTTTACACAGTACCATGTAAATCGTCAATATTAGGCATTTTTGTAATCAATGATGTTGGAAATTTAGAATCCTGGGATTTAGGACAAATTGCAAATAAATGTATTAAATTAAAATATAAAAATAAGTATGTAGTTTTCCCCTTATTGCATTCAGAATAATATTTTGAAAAATGTTTCTTCTTCTCTTGTGCTCTTCGCTAAAAGAATGTTAATTTTTTATAATATAATTGTAATAATATACAGATAAATACAATATATAGAGGAAATAGGTTTCTAATTTTTATGATAAGTTATTGAGTGTTTTTGTCTTTTCATATATAAGTTATAAGTAAAATTTTTTGTTGGAATAAAATGCTGCTTTATTTTTCTATGAAATGTTTGTAGAAATGGAAAAATCATGGACTATTGTCAAATTTATTGAAGAAGATACAGTTGAAGCTGTCCCATCTACCTGGATTGTTGATAAAACATGTTATTGGCCACCATTTCATATGGAAAAAATTGTAGCGTCTATCAAGAAACATGCTGAACCAAATACATGTTGGCCTTCATATGATATTATAACTTTCAGAAACAGCAGTTATGGTTAATATAACAAAATAATATTTTAATATATATACATTCTACATATATATGTATATACTTTGTAATCAATAATATACATAATCGTTATTTTCTGTTATAATAATATAAATACAATTTATTTGCATATTTTCAGATAACTATAAAACAGCCAGGGAGAAAGCCAAAAAGGCTGAATTAACATCTGAATTGAACTCTGATACTGATAATAACAACGTTCCGAATAGAAAAAGAAAAATTATCCCAAAGAACTTCTCTTCGTCATCAGATGAATCTGCCGAAGAGTGTGCTAAATTACGGACGCCTCCAAGTATGCACATACAAAGTTTGTTTTAATATTGAATATTAATATATTTATACATAATCTACAATATAATATCAAATATATAATATATTATATGATATTTTAATTTGTTATAATATATATTTATAATATATAAATTATTTAAAACTTACTTTCTTGGATTTTATGAAATTTGTTTTACATAATTTAGTAACTGCATAAAAATATAATAATATTAATTTTAATCGATTGATCTTAATATTAAAAAACTAAATAAAACTGCTCTAAAAATAAATGAAAAAATAAATATTTTAACATTTCACAATTGACATCAGATTTTTTATGTTGTGTACGGAAATACAATATCCTACAATACCACCTAATCATTCGATATCTAATACAATATCCTACGATACCAGCTAATCTTCAATTAAATCTAGAATAGCTTGCAGCATTTAAATAGAAAAACTGCAATAGCGAAATTATGTAAAACAAATTTTAATAAATCGTAGATTTTAAATAATTTCTGTATTGTAAATATATATAATATAATACATTAGAATGTAATATAATATACATATAATAATATATTATATACAATATTATATAATTTTTTATAATTGGCAAAGTCAATATTGTTAAATACAATTTTGATGAACCTTGAAGATTTAAAAAATATTGTATTTAGCAATATAGTTAAATTGCATCAATAAAAAAAGTTTAGGACAATGTTTTTCCAAAAAAATAGAAATAATGAAATTTTATTCTTACACAGGAGAGTCAATATTTTAGCATTTCAGAATTAGTATTGAATTTTTTATGTTATGTTTATTAATGTAGTATTCGATATATCTTATTATTGTATATAAAACTAAAATACGAATAAAATTATTAAATTAATACAATAATGAAAGCTAATAAAATAAAATAACTATAAAATAAATATATACTGGTATTATAAAATATGTTTACTTTGTGTATTACAAAAATAACATAACTATATAATGATAGAAATCTTTTTATGTTGCCAGTAATAAATAACAATCAAGCTTTTTAATTAACATTAACCGGCCAGTGTTTTAATACAGAAAATTTATTGCGAAAAATATTACCTCAGCCAGGGTTTGAACTTGGACTTCCATACTCTCTTACTCATTGTCTAGAAGACGCCCGCCTAGAGAGTAGCGAAATCCAGGTTCAAACCCTGGCTGAGGTAATATTTTTCGCAATAAATTTTCTGTATTAAAACATTGGCCGGTTAATGTCAACTAAAAAGCTTGACTATATAATATTATAATTGGTTTTTATAAATAGAATCATCGAAAAGTACAAGTTATGAAAATGCGAAGAGCAACAAGTGTCAATCAAAATCAGTGAATCAGTTACCCAATGAAGTTCCGAATAAACGCACGAAGCACTTACAGGATGGATTTCTTAATATTTCGAATAATATTCGAAATAATATTTTGCAAGGCAATGAGCACAACATACGAAATAATGAGACAGAAGATGTCGACAATAAAATTGGTACATAATTTATATTATTTAAAACTAACTTTATAATCTTTCATAGGTTTTATCTGTGCTATCAGTAAACATAACTGTAAAGAATTAATTATTATTATTATTAGTATTTATTCTATTTTTTATATTATTATTATATTAACATTATTTTATCATTATCATCATTCTTATCACCATCTTCTTGATTATATTTCATTATCTTCATCATTATTTTAATCAATAATTATATTTATATTAATCATATTTATATTTAATTATATTTATATATTTAATCATATTTGAGGACTTCCGTTTCCGGCAGCGAGCGTGAGAGTTGTGTTTGCGAGTGTGAGTGAGTGAAGGAGTGAATAAGGGCAGGGAAGGTAGTGGAGGAGCGAGAGCAAGGTAGGTGGAGAGGTGAGGGAGGGTGGAGTGAAGGTGGGAGAGTAAAGGGGAGGCGCGAGGGTGAGCAGGAGTGCAGTAGTGGCGAAAGGGAAAGGTGGGTTAGCCGGAGTGTTGCGGTGTGACAGGCATAGACTAGCGTACGAGGTAGAGGGGAAGCAGTAGATTCAAGAGGCCGGGCAGCGGGCATAGAGTAGAGAGAAAGATAGAGGGGAGCAGATAGAGGAATTAGGTGAAGTAGGTGAATATAACGATAGGAAGAGAAATAGGGAAAAGGAGGTGGTGAGGATGGAAAGCGAGAAGAAGGTGGAGGAGGGGCTAAAAGGGATAGAGAAAGGAAGGGTGGGAAGACCGACGAA